CGAGAAAGTGTCGGGTGCAGACCAAACACCACAACTGACGACGGCCTCCAAGTAAATCTGGTTAGAAGTTGTTCATAGTGATAGCTGATTTCTGGTAAATGATAGTTGGCACTATTCAACTATTACAACCCCAAAATCTCAAAATTTTATTTTTCGTCGAAACTTCGCCTATAGGGGTTATTCGATGCCCTGATTACGAAAATGAGGTTCATTTTTGGCGTTGGCGCCATTTGGCGCCAGGGCTGTTTTCACCAAATTCGCTGTAAACTTGTATATAGGGGTTATTTGGGGTCCTGATTACGGATATGACATTCGTTTTTAGCATTTCCACCGTTCAACGCACATTTTCCATTTTCCTGGGCCCTCTCACTTGTACATAATACCTAGGACTAAGCCTAGAAGGAGGGAGGACTCCGGGGTGGGTGAACCAGTCAACATGTGGCAAATGTTAAAGCGTATAAGATCACAGGATAAGTGTTATTCACTTCGGAGCACTCCCCTCCTCAAAGGCTTAGTCCTGATCGCGAGCTGATCAGTGAGAGGGCGCAGACGAGCGGAAAACAGGCGCCAATGGCGCTAGCGGGAAAAATGAATGTTATATTCGTGATCAGGACCCCAAATAACCCCTATATGCAAGTTTACAGCGAATTTGGTGAAAACAGCCCAAATGGCGCCAAATGGCGCCAGCGCAAAAATGAATGTCATTTTCGTAATCAGGGCATCGAATAACCCCTATAGGCGAAGTTTCGACGAAAAATAAAATTTTGAGATTTTGGGGTTGTAATAGTTGAATAGTGCCCAAAAAATATGAAGCTTGTGTCAGAGTCCGCGATCCATCGCGCGATTCGCGCGAATCGCAAAAATCGCAAGTGCCCCATTGAACATTTGAAACACTGAATATGAAACAAGTAGAATCATGAACAGTCGTCATTCAACCATCACCATCAAGCAGAAATGGCGGGATTGGAGAGCACCTCGCAGTATTGATCGGGCACTTGTGATTTCTGTGATTCGCGCGATCGCGCGACGGATCGCGGACTCTGACACCAGCCTTACAGCTAACAAATTTTTCGTGCACACGAGAGTTTCCAACTTTCACATGGTCTTTCTTCAGAATTGCTTCCGTGTGCAACAGGAGTCTCATCAGGAACAAGATTTGTGCTTTCGAATATGTACTGAGACTTTGTAAAAGTCATATGCCTAGAAAGTCGGCAACCACCTGTAATTTTGAGGAGTTTTAGGCCTATTTTTGAGGATGCACGTTATTGGCCCGCAAATGGTTATAGCTCCTTTCAGCGTTGATTTCATGGATGCTCATTGCGTACAATGTGCACTTACCATTTTCTGAAATAAAGCGTTCTCCTCCAACTAATTTTGCATTTTGCACTATTAATTCTGTTGGCTGAGCGAGATGATCTCACTTTTCTGTGTGTAGTGAACTTGAGGTGACCTGTCCGGTTTGGCCAATCTGGCGGACCGATACTGGTTATGAACGGTCATTCCTCTGTAAGTTCAAGTTCAAGTTGTCTTCTCATGGATCCTAACATTTCTAGCACCTATCGAATCACAAAAAATTCTCGAAGAATCGTAGAAGCTCCGCCGACATTCCTGGAACGCTCTGAAGGTCCAGATTTTCAAGCAAATTTCTGCTTCTCGGTCCAGTATGTTAATGTTTCAATGTTGACTCGTATGGAGAAGCGATATTAAAGTAGTTTCAGTGCGTCACGAGATTGGCTCTTGCTGCTGAGTTGCGAAGGTACCAAATTCGCTTCTCACCTTAACATTGTGTTTACACGAAAAATCGATCGGTTGGAAAACAAACCGCCGTAGTTGACCGTCTGCCAAGTCTATTGGCGAAAAAGCAGCAGTGTTATGCATCTGCTAGTACCCCAAAATTGCCATCAATGGAAAATACCGAAGAAATACAAGCTCACTCCAAAAAACATTGCGGTGCAAGTACCTGCAATTATCTCAATTTGACTAAAGGGGTTCCTTAAATTCACAGACTCCTGGCGAATCAACTGCTCTTGAATTTTTCGAATACTGTTCAGACTCCCGCATTGGATGGTACGCAGATGTAAATAGTTCCGAGCGAGATTATGATGATTTTTAGGGTTAAGCCAAGGAGGAGGAACTTCGGGAAAAATGAGATGACCCCCGTAACCTAATACCCTCCTATGTAGGTTGGTAGCCACTTCTAGCTCATTTTTACAAGCACATACTCCCCATTAAACAGGGACCACCGCAAAAGAATCCACACAAGGACCGACAAATAGATCGGAAATCACCATGGAACCATGGAGACCAGCCAGCCGGGCAAATCGCCAAGATGTGGCTGCGTATCGAACCACACGTTGAGGAGTCGACGCGCAGCTGGACGCACGCGGCCTCATGCGGTGCGGCTGTTTTGGCGTCCATATTGATGTTCGTATTTGTTTGTTCTTATTGAGCCATGTTTTATGCGCGGGTGTGGGTTTTTTATGTTTTTTTGGAATCGCATTGCAAATTGGTTCATTTCTTCATCTGTTTTCTCGCACGGTAAAATGTTGCTCCTTTGGCTTTTTAATGATTGATTCTTGTTAGTGTTTTTCTTAATTCTAGTGGAGTACTTACGTGATGTCTGAAGAGGCAGAAGTACCAGCAGTCAATGCCACTGAGGATGCAGTACAAAAAACAACCCCAGTGAAAGAGCAAGCAGGTATTGTTTGTTTTCCTTTTTTCTTAGATGTTTTGTTTGTACCTAATGTGGCAGTTCTATTCATATTTGTCTTGCTAAGTTTTTATGCGCAATTTTTTTTTCAAAGCTTTGGCTTACATTCGTGTTCCTCATGCAAATTTTACTAGCAAATACATTCTGCTCTAAAATAAGTGCAGATGTTAGCATAGTTGCTTCATGTTTTATGTGAAGGTAAGGGCAGTGTTGCTTCTGCGCTTAACATTAGTTTAACGAAAACAAATGAGGTATCATTGCAATCAATACACTATCGTCGAATCGGGGAAAAAATGCGGAGAGCAATTCCATGTTGCGAACTTGCCTGTTTTTTGCTTCCCTGTTTGTGTTGGCGTCTTTATTTTGCTCATAGAACCTAAGCTCATACTAACTGGTTTGGCTGCGCGACTTCCTTATTTCTGTTTCTTAACAAGGGCCGAGCGTGACGATATAAATTGTGGGCTTCTGAATCGACCAAGCAATTTGCATAACTCCTGGGCTTCATTGTTACATCCGTCATTTGAGACCCTCGCTATGCCTTGGGCGGAGACGAAACCTATCCATTTTTGCAGTACCGTTACAAATATTTTATGTGCCCTTTAGATGGGCCATTTTACCCTCTTAAAACTCCTTTCCCTTCAAGCAACTATGCTCATAAGCTTATTAGTTTGATATCGTTAAACGGTACGAGTAAATTTGTTGTTCTACAGAACACGAAGGTGAT